GTGGCTGAAATGAAAAATAAAAAAACAAAATCAAGCTGACCATTTTTCATAAGGTAATAAAAAAAGAGGAATAATATTACTAGTGCTAAATAAGATGGTAATAACCCATGGCAAACAATAGGTTATAATATATAATTAAGCTTTATTCAGTGGTTATCTGGTTTAAGGTAGAGAGGTAAGGAGACCAAGTATCTGCAGTAATCAATATGGGTAAAGGAATAAATAAAAAAGACAGTGGAGTAAGGTAGCTGTTTTTGATAGGTCTAGATAACTCATAACAAGAAAATGATAGGATCAAGACAGTTAACAGTAACTTAAGGCATGCTCAGATTGCCAGAGGACCTCCACGGCAGGTTTAGTGGAGACTCAGGAAAGATTATGGTGAAAATCAAAACTGGAAGCCGATTATAACAATGTTAGAGATGCAAAAGAAACTAAATGTACAGTCCCAAGAGTTCCCCAAGCCAATGTCAGGAAAGATTGAGATCATTACATCTGGGATAATGACATTTGGGTGGATGAGCCTAGGAATCTTGAATCCCTGAATTCCCCTGATGTTTTCTGGCTGGTCAATGAAGCTTCATCCTCCTTGCCAGAGAAGAAAAGCTTCTGCTTGCCTAGGGACTCTGTAATGATTACATTGAAATTGTAAATTTGCAAGACCTGACTTACTCTCATCATCTCTCACTGGTTTTAGGCCAAAAACCATATCAGATCTCATCACAACACGGGCCTGGAAGTATAATCCTAGCTCCATGCTAAATGATTTCAAGACCTAGATAGTACATATCAGCAGGAATTGAAAGAATGCATATTGGATTGGATCTTGAGTGAGTTAGACAGAAATAAGAAATAGAGTTGGACTTTTGGATGAAAGAATTCATTAATATGATCCTGATCCAAAAGGCAATGTTTTACATTTTTTCTATTTTTTTTCCTGCCTTCTTTCCTATTTCCTTTATCATTAAAATTATTGTTGGTAGCTTATTATTTAAATAAACTGCAGTATATCTATTCAATGAAATACTATTCAGCCATTTAAAGGAATGAACTATATCTGTAAGACACAGGAAACATGGAAAAGCATGTTTCAGTCATCAGAGGTACCACCATCTCAGATCCTATTGATAGTATCTGTGTCCACTCCATTGGCATCTTACCCAGCTGGTATGATGGCATTTGACTTTTTTTCAGGCCTTATTATACCTCCTACCTTTTGCCTCCGGGGCTTTTCTGTTACTGCTGCTGAGCTATCAGTGGCAAGGGGCTCCATTTGGTGCTTAAACACTGGCAATCTGGAATAGTGGGGAAAATGAATGCCCTATACAATGAATGTACTTTTGACATTTGGGAAATATGAACTAAAAGACACATTTTTTTCCCTTCATCCCTGAGATGAAACAGTTGATATAACCTCTGGGAAGATGAGCCCATGAGATCACACAATCAGTTGCAATTGACACCCACAGTAGCCAGCCTAGCAATGCATCCATCACAGTTATTCTCTTTTCCTCCCCGACTCATTCCTACTTCTCTGGGATTATCCTCAGTAATAAGCTAGAACATTAGCTTTTTCTTTAAGCTGTTTTCTAGGGAACTTGACCCAAGGCAGATGTTTGTCATATGTGAAAAAGTAAGTTACAGAATAGTATGTAGATTAACAAATTTTCTGTAAAAAACAAACAAAAAAATGCATATATACATATTTAAACATATTATTTGTAAAATTATAAAATGATAGCCAGATGAACACCTACCCAATTTTTGAGAACAGGTAGGAGTAAAGAATAAATATTTATTTATACTTTTCTAGTTAAAATTTTTAAGGTCATCTATTATAATTGCAATTTTAAAGAATACTAAAAAAGGATAATATTATAAAATAAGTTTGTATTATGGCATAACACCTTAATTTGTATATATTGCAGATTTTTATATTATTAATAAAGAATTATAAGCATCATATATAAACAGTTGAGAAAATGTTCATATTGGAAAATGAGGTAAATGAAGTAAATGTTCATGTCTTTTTCTATCAGTTTTAACATTCAATGGTCCTAAATTGAAATGCTTCCATACTTAATGCAGGCAATATAACACAAAACAATGTCTTTCAAAGTTGTATTTATACAACACAGAAAAAAACCCACGAATATGTAAGTTAACTCATTGTTTAAAAAAGAAAAATCAGTGTGGAGAAATAAGTAGATGAAAACTCTTCTTTAAAAATTAACTGGTTAAATGACAGTATTTATTCACTTGAGTTCAAGACACAGAAAAACTCTAGTTTTGCAAAAAACTTTAGCTCCTTAAGAGAAATTGAAATTGATTTCTTTCCTCTAATTTTATTAGATTAAAATTCCAACTTCCTGTAACTAGTATTTGAGCATTAAAAAAAGTTCTATAATAATATTCTAATAAATATAATGCTTGTTTAGCCATAAATATGCATTTTTAAATTGCAGAATGAGGCCTCTTTAAGATATCATCTAAGATAACTTATGTTAAAATTTTTTATCCTGAGAGTAAAAAACTCTCCCCCAGAGAGAGAGCAGCATGTCCATGAAGTAACAGCAGTATTAACAGAAGGTGATTGTATAAATTATTCTAAATTGACTTTAGTTTTACTTATTATAACCTTTAAAATGCAATTTATAAATAAACCACTTTGTTTTTACAAAATAACAAAATTTCATGTCATTCTTACATATACTACTGAATAATTTCTATTTTCTTTCTTGGTAATAAAGAACAAACAATTGATTTTAGGTAAAATCAAAATTGTTAAAAGTAAATTCTTACAACACTATAAACCATGCTTTTGTCTGTAGTAAAGACAAAAGAATTTGAAGACTCCAATAATAAAAAAATTTGTAAAATGTGAGAAAAAAATTACTAAACCAATGGCTTTATAACTAGTATTTTTAATATACTATATAATAAATTAAAAGTATAGATAAAGTAGGTAAAGGTGAAAACGTAAATTCCCTTTAACATATAAACAAGCACAATTCTTGATTATATGTATACACGCTTTTATGACTTTTATGATTTTCATGAATTTATATTGTCAGCCTAGTTTAAAAACAGAGAGGGAGACTCTCTAAAAGAAAATGATGCTTATTCAGGAATAAGCATCACAATGATAGTACATGTGCATAGTAAACTATGAGTATATTCAGGAAGGTAAAGGAAGACAAAGCTTTTTAAAGGAAAAAGGAGGAGCAGTACATTAATTGTTTTAAGATAATTATCTTTGGCTACAAAAATCAATAACAAGGGTAGTGTCAGTCTGAAGTTGGACGGGCACATGTCCTCACAGAGGTATTTTTTTGTATAAAGTTGTGATGGCCTTTGTGCAAAGTTGTGGTTTTTGTAGAGTCTCTTGTGATAAGAATTTGTGCATGAGAACACTCCATTCGTGGCTTTCCTTTGCTCCATTTGTCAATTTGTCAGAGTTTTTAATACAAATGACTCTATTTTGAGTCTGACAACTTTGACAATATTTATGCATTATAACTAAAAATAATTCGAGTGGCTACAAAATTAGCTATTTCACACAAAGGTCATTACTGAAAAATGTGACAATCAAAAGGAGCATTTTAAAAGGCAATTGTTTATTAACCTCTGTTAAAAGTAGGTCCAGGAATTTTGCACTCAGAATTAAGGGTAGAGAGAAGGAGGTCAGGATTTATTCAGCAGGAAGCTCACATCCCTAATTAAGGATGAAGAGGCTGTGGTTATATAGGATAAAAAGGCTTGGCTTACACCAGGCCTTGCATCCCTACCTAAAGATGAAGGAGGTCTGCATTATATAGCTACCCAAGGAAGAAGGAGACCAGGTTCCACATAACCAGGAAGGTCATATTCATTTCCACACAGAAGGATTCTAGAATCTACACATCCAAGATGTGAATATCTATAACCCAGAAAGGAAGAAACTGACCACTCATGCACTTCTGGTGAGAATGTGAAATGGTATAGCCACTCTGGAAAAGTCTGGGCATTTCTTAAAGCACTAACTGTTCAACCATCAAACCACCCAGGAATCACAGCTCTGGCCTCATCTCAGAGAATGAAAATCTAGGTTTGTACTAAAACTTGTACAGGAATGCTCATAGCAGTGTGATTTATAATAGCCAAAAACTGGAAACAATCCCACAGCTTTCAAAGGGTGACTGGTTTGTACATGGTTGTGATGGCCCTGTGCAAGGTTGTGTTTTGTATAGAGTCTCTTGTGATAAGAATTTGTGCATGCGTACATTTGTTCTGTGGTACAACTATACCATTAAATAGTACTAGGCAATAAAAAGGGAACAAAGTATTGACACATTTGTACCCCTGAGATACTCACTTCCTACTACAGAAAACAGGTGGTCAGGGTTTACAAAGTGGACATGCTGGACAAATATCCGGAGAACAATGCTGAGGAAAAAAAGCCAGTCCCTCATTTATATAGAATTAAGTACATGTTATATAATTCCATTTATATAGAATTCTCAAAACGGCAAAATTCTGTGAATGGGTAGCTTAGTGATTGCCAGGCATTCTCCTCAACTAGAGATGGGAACACCAAGGAGAGGCAACCAGATGCGACAACAGCTCCCATTAGCAAGCTGTGGGTAAAACAGAGAGAAGGCCAGAGAAGGCCCTGGCCTGGCTGCGCCCAGAGTGTAGACTACCAGCAGTTCAAGGCTGTGCTATTTGAAAGCAAGCACGGACCCGGACACCCAGAATAAGAGCGCTCACTCCACAGCTAAGCCGGCATGCTCCTCCTGGGCTTCTGCGCCTCCCTCCGCCAGGTGGAGTCTGGGCTCGCACGGGCGCCTCCGCGGTTCAGAGGTCACGTCCTGGGCTGAGGTAAGCCTTATCTGAGGAGGGCTTCAGGGTCCTGACCCCCACCACCCTTCTCGCCCCCCCCCCCCCCCCCCCCCCCGCGCGAAAGGCCCCCCCCCCCCCCCCCCCCCCCCCCCCCCCCCCCGCCCCTGCGCCGGGCAGAAGCGACCCCTTGCCCGCCCTTTCCTCCCCCTGCGGTTCTGCCTTCCCCTAATCTCTCCCTGGATCCCTCTGAGGGGAGGCAGGAGCTACTCAGCCGGCCGCCTAACCCTCAGGCCCCATGGCCCACCTGCGGGCCTGTGAAGTCCGGCAGCTGCTGCACAACAAGTTCGTAGTCGTCATGGGGGACTCGATCCAGCGCGCCGTGTACAAGGACCTGGTGCTCCTGCTGCAGAAGGACTGCCTGCTCTCTTCCAGGCAGCTGAAGGCCAAGGGCGAGCTGAGCTTCGAGCGCGACGTGCTGCTGGAGGGCGGCAGGTGGGGCCGCATGCACAACGGCACGCACTACCGCGAGGTGCGCCAGTTCTGCGCCGGCCACCACCTGGTGCGCTTCTACTTCCTCACACGCGCGTACTCGCAGTATGTCGAGGACGTTCTGGAAGAGCTGCAGGCTGGCGAGCACACCCCGGACGTGGTGGTCTTGAACTCCTGCCTCTGGGACGTCTCCAGGTACGGCCGCGACTTCCGCAGGAGCTACTGCGGGGACCTGGAGAGCCTGTTCGGGCGCCTGGCGCGGGTGCTGCCCGAGACCTGCCTCCTGGTGTGGAACACGGCCATGCCGGTGGCGGAGACCGTGTCGGGGGGCTTCCTTCCGCCTGAGCGCTGGCCCAGCCGCGCCCGCCTGCGGCAGGACGTGCTGGAGGCCAACTTCTACAGCGCCGCGGAGGCGGGCAGGCATGGCTTCGACGTGCTGGACCTACATTTCCATTTCCGCCATGCCGGGCAGCACCGGCAGCGAGACGGCGTGCACTGGGACGAATGGGCGCACCGACACCTCTCGATGCTGCTGCTGGCCCACCTGGCGGACGCCTGGGGCGTGGAGCTCCCCTGTCGCGAACCCGTGGGTGGGTGGAACAGGGTTGGCCCAGCCGGCAGACGCGCCGACCCCGCGGGCAGGAGGCTGCCTGGCGATAGCCGAGGTGACCCGGCCTCGTCCTGGCCGTCCCCCACTCTCCCGTCCAACCGCACCCCTCGTCGGCAACCTTATGTGCCCTTTCCCCATTCTGGACCGCCGTTTACGCCCCACCACCAAGACACCTATTTGCCTTCCGACCGGTCTTTACAGGGCCAGCAATTCTCCAGCGACACCTTGGCGCGCCAAATCCCATATACCAACGAAGCAAACTGGGTGGTTGGCCGCGACTCGCGGCCCGGCCCCATCCGCACAGGCTCTGCTCAGCACCACCACGGCAGAGAGTCCGCGCCTTACCCTCCCCGGCGCCCCAGCAGGCCACGCAGACGCGAGCGAAGGCACACACACAGACGGATCTGAGTGAGCACGCCCAGAGACAAGGCCTCAGTAGCCAGAGGTAGACTTGGGAGAAAGACCTGTGTCTTTCCCAACACAGTCACTAGGCTGCCTGAGCGCCCTCATTCGGGCGTGGCCTACAGCAACCCTGGTGGGGGAGGTGGGGGCTCTTTAAGCTTCCTGCCCTCACTAGTGAACATTCACACATTCCCCTTTGCCAGAGCTTCCACACCACTTCTTGGAAAGGGGGCAAGGACCCAGACCACCATACCATTCTCCTCTTAGCATTCGCACAGAAATGAATTACTCGTGAAAAAGTGCTCCTCTCATTAAAAAAAAAAATGCCTTACCTGACTATAAGTCTACAAGTAGTATTCTCCATTGACATTCCTCCTAGAAACAAACCAAAAAAAGTGAAAATTTTGATCCTTAAAACTTGTCAAAACATTGCAATTAAGACTTCAGTTCCACCATTAGGTCTTGCCTATGTTCATAGATTTTAATCTCCAAAACTGTCAGCATAAGTTGTCTTGCTGATTCTTTAATTAAATTTGTGTGTTTCAACATAGCATGCCCTTAAGAAAAAAAAAAAAAGTAGTCCATTCACTAATGCAAGGTGGTAGTTTTGTACTGTTAGAAACATACTCTTAACTCTCAAGTTCATCGAATGCCTAGCACATTTTTTTAAATAGACTATTTTTTAGAGCAATTTGAGCTTCACAGCAAAATCGAGTGGAAAGTACAGGGAGTTCCTATGTACTCTGATTCCACACAGGTACACCCTCTCCCACTATCAACATCCCACATCAGACGATACATTTGCTATCTTTGATGAACCTACATTGACACATTATCAGCCCAATGACATAGTTTATTTTAGAGTTCATTCTTGATGTCATACATTCTGTGAGTTTTGACAACTGAACAACCCATGTATATTGATCATTATAGTATCATACAGAATAATTTCACTGCCCTAAGATTCCTCTCTGCTCTGAATCTTCATCCCTTCCTCTTCCCAACCTCTGGCTGCATGAATCTATAACTGTCTCCATAGTTTTGTTTTCTCCAGAATGTTTCATAGTTAGAATCATACAGTAATATAGCTTTTTCAGATTGGCTTCTTTTGCTTAATATGCATTCAAGTTTCCTATGTGTCTTTTCATGGCTTGGTAGCTCTTTTATTTTTAGTGATAAATAATATTCCATTGGTCGTACCACTGTTTATTTATATACTGAAGGACATCTTGGTTGTTTCCAAGTTCTAGCAATTATGAATGACATAAACATTGGTGTGAAGGTTTTGTGTGAACTTAAGTTTCCAACTCATTTGAGTAAATACCAACGCATGTAATTGCTGTATCATGTGGTAAGAGTATATTTAGTTTTGTAACAAACTGCCAAACTGTCTTCCAAAGTGGCTGTACCATTTTGCATTTCATCCACAATGAGTGAGAGTTCCTGTTGCTCTGCATCCTTGGGAGCATTTGCTGTTATCAGTGTTTTAGAGTTTTTCTGAAGAGTATAATTTCTGGGTCTAGATTTTTTTTTTTTTTTGCATGCAGATGTCCAGTTGTACAGCATCATTTGTTGAAAAGACTATCTTTTGAACACTATATTTCCTTTGTTCCTTTGTCAAAGATCAGTTGACTATATTTGTGTATGTCTATTGCTGGACTCTGTAGTCTGTTCCATTGACCTATTTGTCTATTCTTTGGCCTATCCTACACTGTCTTGATTACTGTAGCTTTAGAGTAAGTCCTGAAGTCAAATAGTGTCAATCATCTGACTTAGTTCTCTTTGCATATTGTGTTGGCAACTCTAGGTCTTTTGCTTCTCACATAAAATTTTAGAATCAGTTTGTCAATGTCCACAAATATTGTGCTGTGATTTCCATTGGGATTACATTGAATCTACAGATCAAATTGGAAATAAATAACATACTGACAACATTGTCTTTAAAATACCTCTTGAGATTTTTTTTTGACCCATGTGTTATTTATAAACGTGTTGTTTAATCTCTAAGTATTTTGAGATTTTCAAGCTACTTTTCTGGTATTGATTTCTAGTTTAATTTCAGTGTGATCTGAGAGTAGACATTGTTTGATTTCTTTTAAATTTTTAAGATGTGTTTTATGGTTCAGAATGTAGTCTATCTTGGTAAATGTTACATATGAGCTTGAGAAAAACGTGTCATCTGCTGTTGTTGAAGTATTTTATACATGTAATTTTTATCCAGTTAATTGTTAGTGCCGTTGAGTTCAACTATATGTTTACTGATTTTCCTGCCTGTTCAATCTGTCCACTACTGATAGAGGGTGTTGAAATTTTCAACTATCATAGTGGATTTAACTGTTTCTCCTTGGAGTTCTATCAGTTTTTACCCCATCTATTAAAATACTTTAATGCTCTGTTGTTAGGCATATACATATTAAGGAGTTAAGTCTTCTTGGAGAATTAACTTGTTTGTCATTATGGAATACTCCTCTTTATCCCTGATAATGTTCCTTGCTTTGAAGTCTGCTCTATATGAAATTAATGTAGCTACTCCAGCTTTCTTTTGATTAGTGTTATTATAATATATCTTTCTCAATCCCTTTGTGTTTCATCTAGATGAAAACTTAAAATTGAGTTTCTTATAGTGAGTTTCTTATAGTGAGTTTATATAGTGAGTTAAATATATATAGATAGATATAGATACAGATATATAGTGGGTTTCTTATAGACACTATACAGTTGGGTCTTTGATACACTCAGACAATCTCTGTCTTTTAGTTGGTATGTTTAGACCATTGATGTTTAAAGTAATTGTTGATATTGTTGGATTAATATCTACCATATTTATTACTGTTTTCCATTCATTGCCTCTGTTCTTTGTTCCTATTTTTGCCTTCCATATTCTTTTTTTTTGCCTTTTATGGTTTTAATTAAGCATTTTGTATGATTCTATTTGTCTCCTTTCTTGGTTTATCAATTACAATATACTTCCTATTTGTTTACTTTTTTTGGTCTACTTTCAAATAGCATTTTACTACTTCATGGTTAGTACCAGATAGCTATAAGCTACAGTCGCCAAATACATTGTTGCAATTATTATTTTGAGTAAACTATTATCTATTCAACCAATTAAAAATAAAAAAAATAAAAGTTTTTATTTTACCTTCACTGTTCCTTCTCTAGTGGTCTTCCTTTCTTATACAGAGCCAAATTTTTGACTTGTATTATTTTCCGTCTCTCTGAAGAACTTGTTTTAACATTTTTTGCAAGGCAGTTTACTGGCAAAAAAATGCCCTCAATTCTTGTTTGACTGGGAAAATCTTACAGGCATACCTCAGAGATATCGTAGGTTTGGTTGCAGAACACCACTTAAAGTAAATATCACAATAAAGTCAGTCACAGATTTTTTGGCTTTCCAGTACATATAGAAGTTATGATTATACTATACTATATATATAACCTATTAAGCATACAATAGCATTATGTCTAAAAATGTACATACCTTAATTAAAAAATAATTTATTGCTAAAATTGTTAATGATCATCTGTGCCTTCAGCCAGTTATAATCTTTTTGCTGGTAAAGGGTCTTGCCTCAATGTTTATGGGTACTGACTGATTAGGGTAGTGGTTGCTAGAAGTTGGGGTGACTATGGTAATTTCTTAAAAGAGGTTAACAATGAAGTTTGCTGCATCAATTTACAGTTTTTTTCATGAAATATTTCTCTGTAGCATGCAATACTGTTTGATAGTGTCCACAGTAGAACATCTTTCACAATTGGAATCAGTCCTCTCAAGCCCTGTCACAGCTTTATAAACCAAGTTTATGTGATATTTTAGCTCTTTTTCTGTCATTTCAGTAATGTTTACAGCATCTTAACCAGGAATAGGTAACATCTCAAGAAACCACTTTCTTTACTCATCCATAAGAAGCAACTTCTCATTCATTTAAGTTTTATCATGAGATTTCAACAATTTGATCCCATATTTAGGCTCCAGTTTTAAGTCTAGTTCTTTGCTATTTCTACCACATCTGCTGTTACTTCCTCCACTGAAGTCTTCAACCCCTCAACGTCATCCATGAGGGTTGGAATCAACTTCTTCCAAACTCCTGTTAATGTTGATATTTTGATGAACTCCCATGAATCATGAATGTTCTTCATGGCATCTAGACTGGCAACTCCTTTCCAGAGGGTTTCAATTTACCTTGCCTAGATCCATCAGAGGAATCCCTACCTATGGCAGCTCTATCCTTATGAAATATATTTCTTAAATAATAAGACTTGAAAGTCAAAATTACTCCTTGATCCAGGAGCTACAGAAGGGATGTAGTGCTAGCAGACATGAAAACAAAATTAATCTGCTTGTGCATCTCCATCAGAGAGCCCTTGAGTGACTAGGTTCATTGTCAATGAGCAGTAATATTTTGAAAGGAGTCTTTTTTTCTCAGCAGTAGATCTCAACTGTGGGCTTAAAATATTCAGTAAACCATGTTATAAACAAATGTGCAGTCATCTAGGCTTTGTTGTTTCATTTATACAGCACAGGCAGTGTAGAATTAGCATAATTCTTAAAGGTCCTAGAATTATCTGAATGGTAAACAGTCATTGGCTTCAACTTCAAGTCACCAGCTACACTAGTCCCTAACAAAAGAGTCAAAGAGTCTGCCTGTCCTTTAAGGCTTTGAAGCCAGACATTGACTTCACCTCTCTAATCTTGAAAGTTCTAGATAACAACTTCTTCCAATAGAAGGGTGTTTCATCTACATTAAAAAATGTGTTGTTTAGTGTGGCACCTTCATTAATTATTTCACTGCATCTTTTCTGGATGACTTGTTGCAGCTTCTGCATCAGCACTTGCTGCTTCATCTTGTGCTTATTTTTTTTTTTTTTTAAGAGATAGGGTCTTGCTATGTTGCCCAGGCTAGAGTAGAGTGATTATTCACAGGCAAAATCCCACTACTAATCAGCATGTGAGTTTTGATTTGCTCTGATTCTAACCTAGGCCAGTTAACTCCTCTTTAGGCAATGTGGGGGGCTCCCTCACTTTTGGGAGGTCACCATATTGATGCCAACCTTAGTTCGGATACCACTAGGCATAGAACACTACAGCCCAGAGCTCCTGGGCTCAAATGAATTTCTTCCCTTAGCCTCTTGAGTAGCTGGGACTACAGGTATGGGACACCAGGCCCAGCCACCTTGCATTTTTGTTATGGAGATGGTTTATTTCCTTAAACCTCATGAATCAGCCTCTTGCTAGCTTCCAATTTTTCTTCTGGAACTTC